TGGCCGTGCGCCTCAGCCTTTATTCTATTTTTTTTTTCTTTTTAGATGGGAGGTCTGCGCTCTGTACAGCTGGAGTGAGTGGCCAGATCTCAGGCTCACTGCAACTTTCCGGCTCCCGGGGATTTAGTCCATTCTCTTGCCTCAGGCCTCCCGAATAGCTGGAGCCTACAGGCGGCCCGTTCAAACCCTCGCGCTGGCTAGTTTTGTTGGTATTTCTTTAGTAGAGACGGGTGTTCACCGTGTTAGCAGGATGGTCTCGTATCTTCTCTGACCCTTGTTTTGGTATAACGGGCCCATTCGTCTGCCTCCCAAAGTGCTGATTACAGGGCCTTGAGCCACCACGGCCCGGGCCTATTCTATTTTTTGTAGAAGACGGGGTCTCACTGTGTTTCCCAGACTATTTCAATCTTGGTCTCAAGTGATCCTCCGCACCTCAGGGCCTCCCCAAGAGAAGAGAGTGGCTTGGCACGATTAGCAGCCTGAGCCACCACTCCCAGCACATTGCCCTTGGCCTGTGTTTCCAAGGATTCTGATTGGGGATTTTATTTCTTCCACTGTCTTTGTTGTTTACGTGCATTGATATCTGATAAACAGATTTTGAGAGATATTTCTTCGCCTTCTCTTTCCCCCTCTTCCCCTCTCCCCTGTTCCTTGTTTTCTTCTTCTCATCTCTCCTAACCTGCCTTTCTTCCCCTCTTCTTTTTTTTTTAGATCATATGTCTTCTCTGTCTCGCTAAGTGCCCGGAGTGCAGTGTTCCTGTGTGTCTCTACTACAACCTCATCCCTCTCTCCCAGGTTCGATTGGATTCTCGTCGTGCCTCAGCTCCCGAGGTATGCTGGGACTACAGGCGTCCGCACCACTGTTCCCGGCTAATTTTTGTTATTTTTTTTATTGTTAGAGTGTAACCCGTGTTGCTATCTTATATCCTCCATGTGTGTCTATATCTTTCGCTCCTGTACTTGGATATCTTGTCTCTCGCCTCTCTGGGTGGCCTCCCAAAGTGCTGGGATTACAGGCTTGAGCCACCGTGCCCGACCTCTCTCTCTCTTTTTAGTACTTTTGAGTTGCTGTTTTACCTTCTTTCCTCTCTTCTGTTCTCCTTTCCTTTCCTCCCTTTACTTTTGCCTCACTTCCCTCTCCCCGCCCCTTTTCTTTTCTTTCTCACCTCAACCTTTACTGACGGTGTTGTGTGTGTGTCAGACACTGTGCTAGCCTCTAGAAATCCTGAGTAAGAATCCTTGCTCCCAGGGAGCTCATAGTCTGATGGGAGAGGCAGGAACAAAAACAGATCGTCACAATATGGTACAATACATGAAATGGGAGATTCATGCACAGGATATTCTGAGGGCAGGGAGGGGACTTCGAACACAGTTAAAGAGAGCCAGGGAAGTCTTCCCAAAAGGGTAACATTTGAGCTGAGTCTTAAAGGATGAGTAGGAAAGAGGAACAGGATGATCAAAGGCATGGAGGTGGGAATAGCTGCTGTGTCTGGGGACTCTAAGCAACTAGGCCAGGAAAGGTAAGAGTTGAGACTAGGGAAGTGGGCCAGAGCTGGACTGTAGAGACCTTCTAAATCATGGTAAGGAGTTTAGGCTTTATTTGGGTGTTTTTTTTTTTTTTGCTTGTTTTGAGACACAGTCTCACTCTATGGCCCGGTCTGGAGTGCAGTGGTGTGATCTCGTCTCACTGCAACCTCTGCCTCCCGGGTTCAACCTCTATCTCCTGCTTCAGCCTCCCAAGTAGCTGGGACTATAGATGCCCACCACCATGCCTAGCTAATTTTTGTATTCTTAGTAGAGACAGGGTTTCACCGTGTTGGCCAGGCTGGTCTTGAACTCCTGACCTTGGGTAATCCACCTACCTCGGTCTCCCAAAGTACTGGGATTACAGGCATGAGCCACCATGCCTGAACCTAGACTTTTATTTGTAGACAGCAGTTCATTGTTGAAGGGTTTTAAAACAATTTTTATTTTAATTATTTCCAGACTTTTGACTTTTTGGAAAAGTAATACAAGTACACAAGACAAAATTTGGAAAGTAAAAAGGGTACACAGGCAGACATAAGTCTCCTTTCCATCCTCACTCCCACTTGTTTCTCTCAGAGACAACCCCCATTACCAGTTTCTTGGTACCCTTTCCAAGAAATTTCTTAAATATACAAGCAAATGCAAATAGTGTTTTTACATAATTAGTGTATTATTTATCTATAGCTGTATAACAAATTACCCCAAGCTGGGCACACGGGCGCTCATCTGTAATCCTGGCACTTTGGGAGGCTAAGGTGGGCTGATCACTTGAGACCAGGAGTTTGAGACCAGCCTGGGCAACATGGTGAAACTCCATCTCTACAAAAACTAGCTAGGCATGGTGGCACACGCCTGTAATCCCAGCTACTCAGTAGGCTGAGATGGGAGCATCACCTGAGCCCAGAAAGGTCAAGGCTGCATTGAGCTGTGATTGTGCCACTGCACTCCAGCCTGGGTGATAGAGTGAGATGTTCCCTAAAACAAAAAACAAAAAAACCCAAAAACAAAAACAAACAAATCACCTCAAAATGTAGTCGCCTGAATCAACAAGCATTTATGATCTTTGTTTCTATAAAGTCACAGTACTTTGGGAGCAGCTTAGATGGGCAGGTAGCTGTGACTCAGGGTCTGTGATGATGTTGCAACCAAGACCTCAGCTGGGGCTACAGTTATCCTAAGGATAACTGGGTTAGAGGACCCACTTTTAAGTTCATTCATGTGGGTGCTGGCAGGAGACCTGAGAATGAGTGCTCCGAGAGAGAAAAAGGAAGAAGCCACACTGCCCACCCCCTTTTTGTGGTATCAATTGTATTGAGATATAATTCGTATGTCATATAATTCACCCATATCAAGTGAACTGTTACATGGTTTTTAGTACATTCACGGAGTTATGCAACCATGACCACAACCAGTTTTAGGATATTTTTCATTACCTCAAGAAGAAACCTTATATACTTTAGCTATCACCCCTTAACCCCTGACCCCCCATTCTCCTCAGCCCTAAGCAACCAGTAATTTACTTTCTGTCTCTATGTATTAGCCTATTCTAGACACTTCATATAAATGGGGTCACATAACATGTGACTTTTTTTTTTTTTTTTGAGATAGGGCCTTGCTCTGTTACCCAGGCTAGAGTATAGTGTTGCACTCATAGCTCACTGCAGCCTCAATCTCTTGGGCTCAAGCAATCCTTCCACCTCAGCCTCTCAAGTAACTGGGACTACTGGCACGTGTCACCATGCCCGGCTAATTTTTTAAATTTTTAGTAGAAACAAGGTCTCTCTGTGTTGCCCAGGCTGGTCTTGAACTCTTGAACTCAAGCAATTCTTCTGCCTCGATCTCCCAAAGCCACCACACCGGGGTACTATATAGTCTTTTGTGACTGACTTTTTTCACTTAGTATAGCACTTTCAAGGTTCATTCATGTTAGAGCACATATCAATATTTTATTTCTTTTTATGGCTGAATAATATCCCCTTGAATGGACATACTATGTTTTGTTTATCCGTTCATTAGCTGATGGACATTTGGGTTGTTCCACCTTTTGGCTATTATGAAGAATGCTATAAACATTTGTATACAAGTTTTTTTTTTTTTTTTCTTTTTAAGACAGAGTATCGCTCTGTTGCCCAGGCTGAAGTGCAGTGGTGCGATCTTAGCTCACTGCAACCTGCACCACCTGAGTTCAAGTGATTCTTGTGCCTTAGCCTCCCAAGTAGCTGGGATTACAGGCACACGCCACCACGCTTGGCTAATTTTTGCAGTTTTAGTAGAGATGGGGTTTCACCATGTTGGCCAGGCTGATCTCGATCTCTCGACCTCAGGTGATCCTCCCACCTTGGCCTCCCAAAGTGCTAGGATTACCGGCATGAGCCACCATGCCTGACCTTGTGTATAAGTTTCTAGGTAGATACATGCCTTCATTTCTCTTGGGTACATACCTAGAAGTAGAATTGCCTGGACAAATGGGAACTCTGTATTTAAAATTTTGAGAAACTGACAGATTTTCCCAAAGTGGCTTGCCAAATCCAAGATCACAAAGATTTACCCCTATGTTTTCTTCTAAAGGTTTTGTAGTTTTGGCTCTTACATTTAGGTCTTTGATCTACCTTTTTTTTTTTCTTTGAGGCAAAGTTTTGCTCTGTCACCCAGGTTGGAGTGCAGTGGTGCAATCTCAACTCACTGCAACCTCTGCCCTCCAGGTTCAAGCGATTCTATTGCCTCAGCCTCCCTATTAGCTGGGATTACAGGCACATGCCACCACACCTGGCTAATTTCTGTATTATTAGTGGAGACAGGTTTTCACCATGTTGGCCAGGCTGGTCTCAAACTCCTGACCTCAGGTGATCCACCTGCCTTGGCCTCCCAAATTGCTGGGATTACAGGCGTGAGCCACACTGCCTGGCCTTTGATCCACTTTGAGTTAATTTTTGTATATGGTGTGAGATACGGGGTCCAACATCATTCTTTTGCATGTGGCTATTCAGTTTCCTAGCACCAAGATTGTTCTTTTTCTGTTGAATTGTTCTGGTATCCTTGTCAAATGTTAATTGACCATAGATACATAGATTGCTTTCTAGACTCTCAATTCTATTCAATTGATCTGTATATCTATATATCTATCCTTATGCCAGAACAGACTGTCTTTTAAAAAATTTTATTTTACCAGGCACAGTCTTGATTACTGTCACTTTCTAGTCAGTTTGAAGTCAGAAAGTGTGAGTCCTCCAACTTCGTTCTTCATTTTCAAGGTTGTTCTGGTTATCACACTGCCTTTTATGTCCTGATAGCAGACATCACACACCATCACTTCTGCCACACTCTATTACAAGAAATAAGTTCCTAAATCCAGCCCACATTCTAGAGGAGGAGAATTAGGATCCTTCTCTTGAAGGGAGGAATGTCAAAGAATTTGTGGACATATTTTCAAGCCACTGCTAATGGTAATCTAAACACTTGGTTCTGTGGCTTGCTTTTTTTTTTTGTATATAAACTATTTATTAACAGACAAGGCCTACAGACTTATTTCTTCTTGGACACACCACGGTGCGGCCACGGTGGCCAGTGGTCTTGGTGTGCTGGCCTCGGACACGAAGGCCCCAGAAGCGGCGCAACCCTCTATGGGCCCGAATCTTCTTCAGTCGCTCCAGGTCTTCACGGAGCTTGTTGTCCAGACCATTGGCTAGGACCTGGCTATATTTTCCATCCTTTACATCCTTCTGTCTGTTCAAGAACCAGTCTGGGATCTTGTACTGGCGTGGATTCTGCATAATGGTGATCACACGTTCCACCTCATCCTCAGTGAGTTCTCCCGCCCTCTTGGTGAGGTCAATGTCTGCTTTCCTCAACACTACATGAGCATATCTTCGGCCCACACCCTTAATGGCAGTAATGGCAAAGGCTATTTTCCGCCGCCCATCGATGTTGGTGTTGAGTACTCGCAAAATATGCTGAACTTTTCAGGGATCACTAGAGACGTGGCGGCAGCACAAGCGGCCGCGTGTAGGCCTCCTGTGGAAGCATGGCTTGCTTTTTTACTCAACAATACATCTTGGAGATAGTTCTATATCAGTGTATAAAGAGCCACCTTTTTCTTAACAACTGCATAATAAACTTTTCTATAGATGCATCATAATTTAATTAATATTTATTTACAATATTTTGCTATAATGCTTCAGTGAATAATGTTATATGTAAATTATAATATCTAATACATATGTAAGTATAAGGATAAAGCCCTAGAAGGGGAATTGCTGGATTAAGTGGTATATACATTTACAATTTCACAGACCTATCAACAGTGTCCTTCACAGAGGTTGCACAAAGTCACACTCCCATAAGCAATGTATGATCGTACCTGTTTCTCCATGTCTTTGCCCTGAGTGTGTTATCAAATATTTCATTTTTTCCACCCCGATAGAAAACACTCTCTTATTGTTGTAATTTGCCTTTCTATTATTATGAATGAGATTGAATACCTCTTTTATATATGTAATGGTTATATATATGTATATTTTTTTAACTGTCATTTCTTAAATTTTGAAAATCAATGTAATGGCATTTTTCCACTTTGATTTGTAAGAGCTCTTTATATACTAAGAAAGGTAGCCTTCTGTGTGTGAGATGAGTTACAAATATTGCTTCTCAGTTTATCTTTTGACTTTGTCTATGGATTTTTCCCCCATGGGGAAATTGTTTTCTTTTTACTATAAGCAAATCATCAATTCCCTCTTTTATGGTTGCTGGGTTTAGTGTTATACCTAGAAAGGCTCTGAAGTGTTTCAAGTCTGAGGGGAACATGATTGGATCTGGTTGCTGGTGAAGAGGATGGATTGGAGGTATCAGGAGGATAAGGGTTGAACTATTCTTTTTTTATTTTTTTCGAGATGAAGTCTCACTCTATTGCCCAGGCTGGAGTGCAGTGGCGCAATCTCGGCTCCCTGCAACCTCCACCTCCTGGGTTCAAACAATTCTTCTGCTTTAGCCTCCCAAGTAGCTGGGACTACAGGTGCCCACCACCACACCCAGCTAATTTTCATATTTTTTAGTCGAGATGGGGTTTTGTCATGTTGGCCAGGCTGGTCTGGAATTCCTGACCTCAAGTGATCCACCCGCCTCAGCCTCCTAAAGTGCTAGATTACAGGTGTGAACCACCATGCCCGGCCCCAGAGGAGTTTAACGCATTATGAGTGCCCTGGATCAGTAATCTGTACCTGGCACATAGGTGCTTAATTAATGTCTGTTGAATGAATGAATGAATGATGATATCTGATTTAAGTCTCAGCTCTGCCACCCATTCCTTTGGAGGCAGCACAGTTTAGTGGTCAGAAAACCTGAATTTGGGCTGGGTGTGGTGGCTCACATCTATAATCCCAGCACTTTAAGAGGCCGAGGTAGGCAGGTCACCTGAGGTCAGGAGTTCGAGACCAGCCTGGCCAACATGGTGAAATCTTATGTCTACTAAAAATACAAAAATTAGTTGGGCATGGTGGCATATGCCTGTAATCCCAGCTACTCAGGAGGCTGAGGCAGGAGAATCGCTTGAACTGGGAAGGAGGAGGTTGCAGTAAGCCAAGATTGTGCCATTGCACTCCAGCCTGAGTGACAGAGCAAGACTCCATTAAAAAAAAAAAAAGAAAGAAAGAAAACCTGAATTTAAATTCTGACTGTGGTGTTACCAACTAAGTGTTCTCAGGAATATTACCTGATTTCTGAGTCTCAGTTTACTCACCTGTAAAATGGGGACAATAATAATAACTGCCTCATGGCGCTGTTGAAGGATTGATTGTGAATTTGTGTGCACACCACGGCAGAAACAAAACATTTATTAATTTTAGCGATTATTATTTGTTGTTGTGTGACCAGAATCAAATCACTTTGGCTTCAACTTTCCAATATTCCATGGCCTGTGCTAGAACAAGGGAGAAAGGGTTGAAAAATGGGAACAGTTGGGAGAGGAGCCTGGAGAAGTAGTTAGAGCTGGCTTATGGAGGGCCTTGACGGTGGCTTTGGAGTTCAGGTCTTATTCCTAGATGATGAACAATCACTTTCAGGCATGGGAATGACCAGGGTCAGATGTAGGTTTAAAAGGATGACTTGGGAGGCTGCTATGGAGAATGGACCAGTTGGAGGCTCAATGGAAGCAGGGAGCCCGGGAAGAAGGCGGTCCAGGTGAGAGATGCCAAGGATGGTGGAGGGAGAGGAGGAGAAAGATTGGAGACCTATTTAGAAGACCAATGGGTGTGTTGGGTTCGAGGACAAGGCAGTTCTTACGATGACTCCAAGTTTCTTATGGATAATTGGGTCTGTGGAGTGACATTCACAAAGGACATAGGATGAAGAACAGACCTGGGGTGGAGGAAGAGAAGGTCTGTTTGGGAAACACTGATTTTGAGGTTCTTATGGGATATGCAAGAGGAAAGGTCCAATGAGTGTTACTGCGGTTTGGGGATGAGGAGAAGGTCTCAGCTGTGGATGGAGATTTGAGGCATCATCGTATGAATCTGAGCATAGACAAAATTGCCCAAGGAGAATGTATGGAGGGAGAAGAGACAGCCTAGGGAACAGCAACCTTAAGGAGCAGGTGGAGGAGGAGGAGTCAGAAAAACCAACTGCGAGACAGGAGTCAGAGCAGGAGGAGGCAAATTAGCAACTGAGGGCCTGAGGAAGATAGGCTCGAGGAAGGCCACATGTCTGCAGGAGAAGGTGGACTTGGAAGGGATGGGGAGAGCAGCGGGAGGGTTTTCACCAAATCCTAGAGGTGTATGTGGCAGAGCCAGCCTAGGACAATAGGGTGACCCCGAGGAGGGACAGATGCCAAAGTTATTAACAGGCTGTGGACTCCGTGCAGGCTGGGCCTAGGGTGGCAGAGGAGAGTAAATGCTGTTACCAAATAATTACCGCACAAAGTGATGGGGGTTCCATCTCTCCACAAGTCATCTGTGATGCCAGATGCCATTATTTGTGTTCCCAACAGTGCCCCCGTCCAAAACTGTGAGCCCCTCAAGGTCTGGAACCATGAGTTGAGACTGAATGACTTAGAGGAAGAGTGTCCCAGGGAGAAGGGGTGAATTTGACCCGTTTTCAGGGACAGAAAGGATGGCAGTGCAGCCAGAGTGCAAGCGAGAGGCTGAATGGCACCAGAGGAAATGGAGGGAGGCTGGGGCCTGGAAGCCACTGTCAGCTGTTGTCAGGAATTTACTCTGAATGCCATGGAGAGAGAGAGTTAAGTAGGGGAGCTAGTTTCTTTCTTCTCTTTGAGACAGGGTCTTGCTCTGTTGCCCAGGCTGCAGTACAGTGGCACGATCATAGCTCACTGTAACCTCAAATTCCTGGGCTCAAGTGATCCTCGCATCTCAGCCTTCTGAGTAGCTGGGATTACAGGCTCACACTACCACAACTGGCTAACTTTTTTTTTTTTTTTGAGGCGGAGTCTGGCTCTGCCGCCCAGGTTGGAATGCAGGGGTGTGATCTCGGCTCACTGCAAGCTCCGCCTCCCAGGTTCACGCCATTCTCCTGCCTCAGCCTCCTGCTAAATTTTATTTTACAGATGGGGTCTCATTATGTTGCCCAGGTTGATCTCAAATTCCTGGCCTCAAGCAATCCTCTCATTTCACTCTTCCAAAGTGCTGGGATTACAGGCATGAGCCACTGTGCTTGGCCATGATACCATTTGTTTTTGAATGTTCATTCTGGATGCTGAATGGGGAACAGGTGACGGTGGGGCAAGGGTAGAAGCAGAGAAACTAGTGTGAAGGTGACTGTGGTGATTAGGGAAGAAGGTCATGGATCTTGGAGCCAGGTGGTAGCTGGCAGTGGAAATGGAGAGAAGGGGTCTGGTGCTGGACATTTTTTGGAGGTTGAGCCAGTCAGCCTTGCAAATGGATTGGGTGTGGGAGGTGAGGGAAAGGGAGGATCTAGGATACCTCCCAGACTGGCCTCAGCATCTAGGTTGTTGGATGGGACAGGAGTCACCTCATAGGAGCTGATAGGGGCATTAAGATTGGGCCTGGATGGCTCAGATTTTAAAAGGAGAAGCTCGGTCTCCCTTGTAAGATAAGCTCCTGGCCCTGGATGGGCAGGAACAGAGCCGGGTGCTCAGACCTGGTAGGGAGGGCCTGTGGACAGGCATCTCCAACCCACCTCCTGAACTTCCTTCTCCTAGGGGATCTCCCTGTGAGACAATTGTTACCACGGCCCCCTTGTGTCCTGGGGAAGCCATTCCCTTTGAAAGCTGTGGCCCCCCTGGCCAGATCTGGTGGCTCACGCCTGTAATCCCAGCACTTTGGGTGAGGTGGGCGGATGACCTGAAGTCAGGAGTTCAAGACCAGCCTGGGCAACGTGGTGAAACACCCTCTCTAAAAAAATACAAAAATTAGCTGAGTGTGGTGGCGTGTGGCTGTAGTCCCAGCTACTCAGGAAGCTGAGGCAGGAGAATCGCTTGAATCTGGTAGGCAGAGGTTGCAGTGAGCCAAGATCACGCCACTGCACTCTAGCCTGGGCGATAAGAGTGAGACTCTATCTCAAAAAAATAATAATAATAATAAAAATAAAAATAAATGAAAGCAAGCAAGCAAGCAAGCAAGTTGTGGCCCCAGTGTGGACAGAAATCATTCACTGGACTCCCCTCAGTCCCAAACCCAGCCAGGTCCTTCTGGAAAAACCTTCCTAAATTGAAGGAGAGACTGTCAGAGGACACAAGCAGCTGGCTGTGTATTTTGTGCTACACTGATTCTTTGTATATCTCACCTTTTCTAAGAGTTTTATTGCTTTTAAAAAATTATCATTGTTCTTTGTGGAAAAATTGGAGAATATATTTTGAGCAGAATTACACCCATAGTCTTACTCTCTCAGCAATAGTCATTCTTAACTGCATGGTCTATGCTCATAACAGTATAGAGTGCTGGTTAGAAGCAGGCTGTCTGGGTCCAAATCCTGCAACTTACCAGTTGTGTGACCCTGGATAACTTGGATAACCTCAAACCTCTTGCACCTCAGTGTCCTCATCTGTAAAAAGAAGATAATAACAGTATCTATGCCATAGAGTTGTAG